AGCATTTTGCTGATAAAGTTAATTCGTTATTGCTATATTGATACACCAGTCAATTACAACATTGAACCGGTGCATGGGGTGGGACTGACCTTCCGGTCATTTTACCCCCATACACCGGGCGTCGTTCATAAGTCATAACCCCACACTTTCAAAAACAGGTCGTCGTTCAAAACCGCACACTTTCTTATCTTAATAAGTATATGTCCGCCAAATTAAACCGTTCAATACCGCACACATTGATATATATATAAATAACGTATACATTTATCTTAAATAACATTATCGTTTAGTACCACATACCAGTTAATCATATTAAATCAAGATCACAAAATAATAAAAATAAAACTTTCGGGATTATACGCAGATTGCTATATCTACACGTTTAAGAAATAAAATAATATACGATTATGGTTTTTATTTTCCAAATATTAGTACCTAATAAGTTAACAACATTTAGTGTGATTGCGACTGTATTCGACTTCACGTATATATTTTATAGTAATTTTACATTTAATAATTTGACATCGAATTCGAATAATGGATGACGTGATACAAGTGTACACAAACAATAAAGGTGGGCACTGGGCAATCAATAATTTACCAAAAGTATTCATTTCGACTTTTTCGTACTAATAAAAATTCCGGGGACTTAGTTTGGCGTTGCAATAATAAGTTGTGTAGTGTTATGGTGACGACAAATTCAAATGTAAATGTATTCATCAAACAAAATAAAAGTGAACATCACCATGAAACAAATGAAATTAACCCAGAATTAAAAGAAATTCGATGTGCCGTTAAACGTAAATCGAAATTGGATTTAAACGAAAAACCTTTAAAAATTATAAGGAAAGAATTATGTACGTCTTCAGTGAGTGCAGATAATATTGATGCTATGAGACAGTCTATGTATCGTGAAAGACGAAAACTTCTACCCCCTGTGCCTGTGTCACTCTCAGATGCTCTTAATAAGGTAAAGGAATCAAACATCACACTTAATAATGGTGAACAATTTGTGTTTGTGAATGAGTCCACTCAAATAATAATAGTGACATGTAAAACAAATCTCCAATTTTTATGCAATGAAATTGAATTTATATTAGCAGACGGAACTTTTACTTATTGCCCGAAACATTTTTATCAATAATATACCATCCACGGCGTTTGTAAACATTATTACGTACCACTTGTTTTTTGTTTTTTGCCATCAAAAACAAAAGATATTTATAAACAAATGTGGGAAACAATATAAGACTTATGTTTAAATAATGCCAATAGTGTATTCCAGCCTTCACTCTTACTATTAGATTTTGAACTTGGTGCTCACATTGCTGCTAAAGAAGTATTTCCTTTAATTATTATTAAAGCCTGTCGTTTCCACCTTGGTCAAGCATGGTACAGAAAAATCAGTTCCATTCCAATATTAAAAAAAAAACTACGACGATAAAAATTCACAATCTGGACTATGGTTAAAACTTTTTTTTGGTTTGCCTTATCATATATGATTTCTGAGTCGTTTATTGAGATAATGGCTACTTGTTCAGAAGAAAAACAATATTATGATTTTGCTGATTACATATTGGATAATTATATTGAGACTAATAATTTTTCACTAATGTGTGGGCAGAAGAGCCCAATAAAAGTACAAGAACGACGAACGGTGCAGAAAGTTACCATAGTCAACTTAGGCATGCATTGTATGTTCCACATCCTACTATATTTCATTCAGTAAGAATATGAATTTAAAATAATAAATATATTTTGAGTTATTATTAAATTATTTTTGTTTTTTTTTCTTCCAGATAGATGTGTTAAAACAACAACAAATAATTACTGAAACCAAATTTCGCCTCATACGAAACGGCAACGTGAACCGTACACGCAAAGTATGCAGGGAGAAAGAAAAATCTATTTTAAAATTATATGATCGTTTCATTAACAACGAAATTAGCTTGATTGATTATTTAAAAACATTAGGATGTAAGTTTATTTCAATTTAATTATATATTGAATTATTTATATTATGATTTTTAATTAATACTAAATTATTTTTTAATAACAACAAAATTAACACTAAATTATTTTTTTAATTAATAACAATAAAATATGTTTAATTTTTAACTGTCAATGAAATGTGTGCGGTTTTGAACTATCGACCTTCCAAATTTCCCTTTTTAACAATAGAATAAATGTGTGCGGTATTGAACGATGTAAAATGTGCGGTTATGAACGGTAGTCGGTAAGTGTGCGGTTTTGATGACCGCCGCATACACCATCGTTTATTGGAAAAAATTTTACATTTACATTTAACCTACCAATTTGTATGATAGTCCACATGTGTCGTGTTCGACTAGATTGCAGAGTTTTCTCCATGCACTAAGTTCCTCTTCTCTGCCTTCGCGTCTTCTCCTTCAGTAGTATCAGTAGTACTGTTTCTCGGTCGACCAGTTTTATTTTTCGTTGGAAAACCCTGCGCAGATGGTTGGCTGTTTTGCGGAGTGCGCTGATTTCAGAGGTCCACCAGTGGACTGATTACCTAGTCCTACTACCTGATGGTGCGACGGTCCGACATTCGTGTATAACCTCCGTGAGGGCTAGGGAGCTGTTTTCAGCATTCGCAATTTGATTGAATCTGACTGAAGTAAATGCTGATTCCAGTTTTTTTAAGTCGATTTTTCGAAATCTTTTTTTGTGGGCGCCGCTGTTTTTGGAGCCAAGGTAAATGTCAAACTCTATGTAGAAGTGGTCGCTGAGGGATTCCTCTTCTAGGACTCTCCATACCGAAACCCTATGACTTAATTTTGTCGTTGCTATGGTCAGATCGATTATGCTCCCTTTGATGAAAGTGCTACTGTTGCCTTTATTACAGATGACTAGTCCTAGAGCGTTGATTATGTCGGCCAGAGCTTCTCCACGCCTTTCGCTCGCCGGAGATCCCCAGTCTGTGTGGTGCTTGACGTTGCAATCTGATAGCCTCAGATCGTTCGCTTCTTATGCTGCGTTCCAGCCTGTTCAGAAAATCCAGGTACTCTGCGAACAAAGAGTTGGGTGACCAATAGCACGAGAATAGCATTATTTCGTGGGCAGAGACCCACCTGAATCCCGCTTCCCCCATGCCTTCGTTGTCAAGTCTTATTCGTTTTAAATTGACGATTGATGTTTTACCCGTTGTGTCTGTGTGCCAGTTTGTACCCTCGTTTCGGTTTGGTTCACTTGCGAATATGAGGTCGGACGATTTCTCGGCCACGACCTGGTGGAGCAGGGCCTGCGCTGCTTTGCAACAGTTCAGGTTGATCTGCATGCACTTAAGCATTACTCTGGATTTCTAGGGTATTGCCAGTTTTGGCAGCAACTCTATCCTCTGTTTTAGAACCTTGTTTACTTTCGGACTAGGCCCTACGATAAGCCACGCACTTAATGCTACCCGGGAAGTGGTCTGTGGATTCTTTCATGTCCTGGCATGCCACACATCTTGGCGGGGCGTTGCAGCTTGAAGCTTTGTGTCTTTCCTTGGCTTCCGAGTGGTCTGGTCCTTTGCATGCGTGACTTGTATGCTCGTATCCAGGAATCTAAAGCACTTTGTGGCTCTGACTTTGAGCCTTACTCGGGCATTTATCCAACCTACTTTAATCCGACCTTTTTCGAGAATTTTGAGGGCGTCCACGTCATTCAAAAGGACGATAGCACTTTATGTACCCATAAACGACTGTCACATGCTTCTAGCTTTGACCGTTTGATCGTCCGCTGGTAGACCCAGTGCACTTCGTATGCTGTTTTCCACTTCGGCTTCTGATGACACGCAGTCAAGATCCTTTACTTCAACGTCCTCGTATGTCACAAGACCACTCACCGTCGCACGTGATCCCAATTGAGATTGTAGAGCCACTTCTAGGGCTGCTCTCTCCTTGCCCTTAGCCTTAAGTTTGATTAATATTTCTCCATTTCGGCTCTCTGAGATAGAGGATATCTGAGCTCCAGTCGACTCTAGGTCAACGTTTTTTCTCATCGCCTTGAGAATGTTAGCGACCGTTTCTCTGTGTCCTGGCTTGACTGCAATCGCGTCCGGGAGAAGTGTCTTATTCCGCCTCCTATTTGGCTTATTCTCAGTTTTTGTTTTTTTTCCCATTTGTTTTGATTTTTTTTCCCACAATTTTCCAGTTAGCATTTTCGGTCGGTAGTATGCTCTTCTAGGTCTCTTCTTGCTGGCTGGTAGAAGGCGCTTTCGTTCTAGTGCGCTGGGTATGTGTAGGTATCTGGAGGTATCTCTATAGTATCTGGGAGAGATTTTCAGGGCATTGATTTGGTAACCTAACCTAACTTAACCTAACCTTTTTTTTGTGTGTGATATTACGGAGCTACAGGGGGGCATTTCACTCTTTTCTGGCCGTCCTTCCCCCTGTATCCGTATCGTTTATTGGTTCATAATTATTACGACAAATGTTTATCTTTTGAGCTTCGCTCTACAAAAAAGAGAGGGCTTTATCCCTCTAAAGTTCGCTTACAGCGCACAATTCCAATGAATTAATTTAGTTTTAGTATACTTCTTCCTATCCTTATGCATCCGCTGATCTTGCTCGCTTTTCTAACACGTTCTTCTGCTTCCCTTGTCGATTGTACGGTCTTCATAAAATTCCTTGCCGCATCCCAGTTCTGTCTGCTGTGAAGCATACACCCTACCAGTTTCTCTGGTTGTAGGTCCCCGTTTAGCATCCTTTCGAGATACGGCACTCCTTCCACTACCTGGCGCACCGGAACATGACGTGCTCTGCGTTTTCTGATGGTTCCCCACAGTCCAGGCATGATAGTTCGTCGATTTTTTGGAATCTGTGGAGGTAGTACCGGAAACATCCGGGTCTTGACAGTAATTGTATCATGTGGAAGTCCACCACGCCATGTTTCCGTCCTATCCAAGCTTTCGGGTCCCATTCTTTTTGCCATTTGTTGAGCATTGCTTCACGTACTTCATTCACTACCCTATTTTTGTCATTTTCTTCTCTGCGAAGTTATTTTTCGGACCTCTCACACACGAGGAGGTGAGCCGAAACAATACCCGCGACAACCGTTACAGCTGCCGTTAATACTGTCCTATACGACATAGCAGTTCTCAGCGCCAGGACTCTCTGAGGCCTCAGAATAGTATCAATATTCCTCTGGTGTACGAGTGCCCCAACCCATATCGGCGAACCATATAATATCTTGCTTTCAACGACTGTGGCAAGTAGTCTCCTCTTCTTCTGTCCAGTGCCACCCACGTTGGGCATAAATCTTGACAATACTACTGCTGTGGTCTGCGCCTTCTTCTCGGCCGCCTCCAGGTGGGCCCTGAAACCCAGCACTCTGTTTAGTTCCAGTCCTAAATATTTAATCTGATCCTTTATTGCCACGCGTTCTCCTAGTATTTGTGGATCTGGCATATCATAGCCCCTCATTGTGGTAAGTATGACCGCCTCTGTTTTGCAAACTGACAGGGTTATGCCTGCCCTTGCCTACCATTCCGCTACTTTCTCAAATGCATTGTTTGTCACCTCATCTAATATGCGGGAGGTGCGCCCCGTCGTAACCAGCGCTACATCATCCGCAAAGTTGACCATGATTGTAGACGACATGCTCTTCACATAACCTCAAGGGTCCACGCTGAGCAGATCGACGTACATGAGATTCCACAGCAGTGGTTTTACCACAGATCCCTGTGGAACACCGCAGGTAGTGATCCATGATCTACCCTCGTAATAAACTTCCCTGTTGTTCAGATATCTCTATATCGCGGATATAAGATACTGGGGCATCCGCTTGTCATGCATCGATTACTCGATCCTTCTCCATTTTGCGCTGTTGAAGGGGTTGTCAACATCCAAGGCAACGACCACGCAGAGCTCTCTGGTGAGATGGGGCTCAGATCCCGCTGCCTCAACCAAGTTCATGACTTCTCTGATAGCGTCCATCATTGATCGGCCTTTCCTGAAACCGAATTGCCTTTCATCGAGGTCATTGTTTTCTTGAAGGTGTTTCTCCATGCGTCTTTTAATGAGTCTCTCAAACAATTTTCCCACTGTCTTGAGCAAACATATAGGTCTATAAGATGATCTGTTTTCCAGCGGCTTGTCGCTTTTTTCCAGTAGCACCAGTTTTGAAGCTTTACATGCACAAGGAAAAAGGCCTTGTTTAAGGCAAGAATTGAAAACGTCTCTCAGGATCTCCGGATTCATAGCGGCAGCCTCCTTAATTATCATGTCTGGCACTCCATCCGGGCCAGGTGCTTTTCCTAGTGGAATCCTCCAGTTTATTTCCCTGACCTCATCGCACGTGACCTCTGGAAGCACGTGTTGCCCCGTCCACAATGGCCATGTGAATATCTCGTCTTAGGGGAAGAGTCCATTAACCATGAAATCCACACTTCCCGGTGCACTGAGTCCTGGAATTGGCCTTCTACCAACGAGTTTCTTGGTTACGAGCTTATATGGCGGACCCTAGGGGTCCGTCTCGCCTTGTTCACATAGATTACTCCAGCTAGCCCCTTTGCTTGGTCTAATGGTTTTCGTCAGTGCCTTTTTAACCGCTTTGAAAATTTACCATTCTTGCTCCTGTATGTCGTTTCCTCGGAGTTCGGAGATCTCCTTAGTTCACCAGTATGCTGGTTTTCTCCCCTCTATAACTGTTCCTCGGCATGCAGCTGTCGCATGCGCCCTTGATATACTGGTCCAGTTCAGTACAATTCAGTGCAGTGGCGGACGACGACTCCATCCTAGTGGTAGATTGGGTTTAAGTAATATACTTGACCAGTTCGAATTTGTCGTATTTTCTCCACGACCATCTTTCCTCTGCTGGCCTCCGTGCAGCACGTTTTGTTGCTGACACTCTTAATGTTATGTACCCGTGGAGTGAGCCAGTATACTGGCTTAGTACATGCCAGTCACCCACAATGTGACTTCTCTTCCCGGATACAAAAGTAATACCAATGTGGAACCTCAAAATGCCACCGATGTACACTCTTGAAAAAGTTGGTTTGTCGCCCGAATTGCACACCACCATGCCCAGGTTGGCCATCATGTCCATTAAGGCTTTGCCTTTTGCTTCCTCTCTATGCCCCCTCCCCCTCGGCTGGGGATTTAGCTTTAAAGTCACTGGTGATGATAACAATGCCGCTTCTGCTTTTTATGCTGCCATCAAGCCTTTCAAGAAAGTCGACGAACATAGTGTAATCAGTGTTCGGAGACCAGTAACAGGCGTAGACGGTGGTATCCTCAAGTCTAGCCCAGCATAATACTGTATTGGATCTAAGCCCGATTTTTTGAACTTGAATTCTGGGGTTGGCAACCGCAATGGCCGCTTTGCTACCTACGTCGCTGAACTATCCTTCAGTTTCCTAGCCACAGTGGTGTGGTTCACTGATTATAAGCTTCCATCAGCTCCCCGTGCCTTTGATATTGCATGAGGTCCTGCGCATTTTTCCTTCCGTCGACGTTGATCTGCAAGAATTCAATCATTGCAGCTGTTGATATACTGTCCCGTTGGCCACACTCTCGACAGTAGCCCTGTCTGTCGGTTCCGAGGCATTCAGCTCGACCACGTCCTATTTCCAGACACCTTGGACAATTGCCGATCCCACGTTCTTCCCAATACTTTATCCGGCAGCTCACATACCCAACTCTGAGTTTCCCAGTCCTTTGAACATGAGCCGCCTTCGTAGCCGGTAGCGATACAACCATCCATTTTTGTCCCCTTCTTACTGCCATTGCAAACACCACTCTTGCCTCCTCTACATTTCCTCCAGTTACTATGGCAATTGCTTCAGGTACTTCCAGTACTAGCCAACTCATCCAAGTCTTGAACTACCGCTTTTTGGTATTGCACCAACTTTTTGACCAAGTCACTGTCATCTATTGCCTTGCCGAGTGCGTTCGCAAGGGCAAACCAAACCTTTTTTTTTTTTCAAGCGCATATCATTGAAGTTCGAGAGAAACTCTCGCGTTAGGTAATAATACCTCCGAACTATTTGGTACCGTTTATAAGCAAATTTACACAAATTATGGACTGTCGCAGGCCAATATCCTGCTCACGAATCCTCACAAAACAATTAATGACAACATTATTTGAGGCTCTATCCACAAAGCTTTGCCTTTCAGGCCACATTATAAACTTATTCTAGTTTATGTTAACTTATTCTAGTTTATGTTAACTTATTCTACAGCTAACACGTGCGGGATCTCTCCTCTTCTTATTTTCTCGTTCTTCTTTTTGCTGCATGACCCGTGTTGCAAATGTCGACACAACGTCCCAAAACTTGGAACATGACGTCAGCTTGTCCACTAATGTCTCGATTTCCAATGGTCCCAGCATCCTCTCAAGTTCGTTACGTCCCACCGACCAACTTCGACATTCGAATAGCGTATGCCTGGCGTCGTCCTCTTCGTCTCCACAGTGGTGACATTTACTATTAATCTCCTTCCGTATACGGAGGAGGTACTTACCAAAACACCCGTCTCCGCTAAGTAGCTGAGTCAGGTGATATGTATACCTCCCATGACCTCTGCTACACCAGGCTATGTTTCTGATAAGGGCTCTCGTCTTGGTCCACTCGTCCACTCCCCTTTCTCCGCGGAATCCAGTTGGCGTACCCATCGTTGTATTGTAATTCGGCGCCAGGCTGGAGTCTCCATTGCGGTACCGTTGTCCGGAAATGCAGTGTTTCTTCTGTGTCTGTAAATTTCTGAACGTTCTGTCACCAGAAGATCAATGGCAGGCATTGACGCTATAATATTGGCCGCTATCTGGGACCTCGTCTGGTACGCACAGATGCAACATAGCACTGAACGACGTTTTACTAGCAGGAGTTGGTCCGTACGCTGCTTGGAATATTCAAAGCTCGGGCCCCACACCGGTGCTCCGTAAAGGATGACAGACTGAACGAAAGCGGCCAATAGTTTTCGTCTAGCTTCCTTTGGTCCGCCGATATTAGGCATTAGCCTACTCAGTGCTAGCATTACTTTCTGCGCCTTACAGGCTGTATTCGTTATGTGTTCGCTGAAGCGGAGGTTGTCGTCCACCTAGATACCAAGGTACTTAATGCACCTTTCCATTGGCACTTGAGTGTTGTTCAAAAACAACCTCGGCACGGTGTCGATGTACTTTCTCTTGAACACCACTGCTTCGTTCTTCTCAGTGGCAAGTGACAAACCTAGCGCAGCAATTTCAATGGAAACCACACTTAGTGCATAATTTAAAATGGCCTCTACTTCATGGCAGAACCTCCCACGGGCAATGACCATAGTATCTTCGGCAAATCCCAGTAGGCTGAGTAGACCCTCAGTATACGGTTGTAAGTGAATTTCCAGAGCAGTGGTCCCAACACCGATCCTTGCGGCACGCAGCACAATACCTGAATCCTTTCGCTACTGCCAGCAGCCTCGGAGCAAACGATGTCAGCGCTCCGGTTGCTGAAGTAAGATCCAATCAGCCTTAGGAGGTATGGTAGACTCCCCAATGACGTAAGGCATCCAGCACGCGATCCCAGCCTATTGAATTGAAGGCATTCTTTATGCCCAGACTAACAACGCGAAATCAGCAGCGATCGTTACAAGGCTCTCGAACTCTTCAGCTGCCTGCGTGGGGTCCAATTCATCATTGGGAGTCCCCTAACCTAACCCAACAAACGTCGAGTGTCCTATCGTCTTCCCTGAGAGGCGATATGTGTTTGCACTGTAGTTGAGGACACACTAAATGAAATCGTTTGGTGGTCCGACCCGTTGTCCTTATTGGTCTCCACAGACCAACCGTTGATGGACAAGGCTAATGACTCGCTTGCCAGTGTCACATCGACAATCGATCCCGCTCCTCGGCCAGTAAACGTCGGGCCGGAGCTTTCGTTGACTACAACAAGACCTAAGGAATCAGCAAACGCGGCGAGTTCGTCCCCTCTGGCGTTATTCTCCCAATCGCCCCAAGCTGCAGATCGCGCGTTGAAATCACCCGCAATGATAACCCTTGACCGATCACCTAGGCCACGCACGTAGTCTTATATCCGCTTTAGAAAATAACTGAAGTGCATAATCTCGGACGAGCTGATACATAGCAGCTAACCTACAGGTTGGTATTCACTCTGGCAGCAACAAACTCGTCGTCACGGATAACGTTGGCAGCAGCAAGCCATCGTTTGAAAATACCAAGTTTGGCACCACGAGCACCAGCGCTGAGTAGCCAGCCACCAGACTCTTGACTTATGCCTTTGGGATTGGTGACGCGTGTATTATATTATTATTATTATTATTATGGTGTTTATCTGCATTTAATGTTATCGGAATCGATGCCCAGTTTATTATATCTTCCGAGTTTAGTGTGTATTCAACCACGTATCAATGTACATATACCTGTCACCGAGTCGGTCTCCGCACAATAAAAGAATTAATAAAGAAAAATAAAATCTATTAATTACACTTAATTTTACCTATACAGTCCACTAAAAATCGACGGTAACAGGGATGATCCGAAGCAATTACCGCGTCTACGCCCTCCTCTACCACCGTTTGCGAGAGTAAATTGTATGCTTGCCAACAGTGGTCCATATTGATTTGCTTGAATTTCAAGCCGAGCGCAAGTCCGCCCTTGTTTTGTTTAGCGCTGCAAAGCCCGCCATTGGCGAGCTGGTTAAATTGCTGGCCACGCGTCTGTGGAAACGGGGTTACAGGAGGTTCGTACATTCTTTTGCCAAGTGATCTTCGCCCTGCCATTTATAGCATCGCCTCGATCTGGCCTTGTTCTTGCATGCAGCTGCTAAATGTTCTTTAAGCTGGCACCTGTGACAGGTCAGTTGGGTCTTCTCCAGCAGCTTGAACCTACACCTGGTCCAGCCTATAGAGACACTCTTTGCCTCCACAAGCAGGATGGCGGCGGGTAGCGGCAGGGAAAGACTCGCGGTGAGTTCACCTCGACCACCAATGTTCCTCCGGACCACCAACTCATTCGCTGCGACGTTGGTTACTCCAGCGTAGGCGAGGGCACTCACTATTTCCTCCGGCTCTGCCCAGTCCGGTATTCCAAGCAGTAGGACAGGACAAACCTAACCTAACCTTTTTTGTGTTGAATCACGGCGCTACAGAGGGTACTTCACCCAGGTAGGATCGTTCTTCCCCCTATATCCATACCATTTATTAAGCAACAACTAAATATGTATAAACTTAAACTAAGGCTTGACACCTTTACAATACACAAGCAGGCTCTATCCTGCCAAATTTTGCCTTTGGTGGACAACAAAAATAAACTTAACTATTTCATTGATCTCTTATGCCTGTTCGTTGAACCTTGTATTCCTCTTTCTCTTTCGTTGACAGCACTTTGAAAATTAACTGCCTCACTATTCTCCAATTCTCCTTGCTCTTCAACATAATCCCAACTGTGATTTCTGGCTCCATTGGTGCCCCTAGATTGCCTTCCAGTTCCCTCCTGGTCTGCCACCATCTGTCGCAGACGAACAGTGTGTGCTCCGCATCGTCTACTGCTGCTCCGCAGTCCACGCACTCCGAGAATTGACGTTTTTAAACCTCGCTAGATACTCACCGAAGCACCCATGCCCGGTGAGCATCTGGGTCAAGTGGAAGTCACAGCTGCCAAACCTCCGGATAATCCATGGTTTGATATTTCTTATAATTCTGTCGGTCCACCTTCCCGTCTTAGCATTGCCTTTCTGCCACTCCTGTTGTTATTTTTCGATAGTAATTTCTTCGAAGGGGATGCCTTGCCTCCTGTTTTTGTAACGCTTCTGGTTTTCAAGTGCCACCAGATGTGCGGGGATCCTCCTGCTCACAACAAGCACTGCCGCCGTTTAAACCGTTCTATATGCCATTATACATCTTAAGGCTACTTTCCTTTGTACACCCAAGAATTTTTCGACGTTGTGGGCATACTGCATCACGTCTGCCCAAATGAATGCTGCGTGCAGCAGTTGATTGGTAACCACCGTGGCCAACAGCCTCCTTTCTTCTCCCTTGTACCATCGACATTGGGGAGGATCCTCCTAAATGCTTCAGCAGTCGCGCCAACCTTCACTGAAGCTGTTTCGATATGGTGTCTGAATCCTAGCTTGCAACACAGCGATACTCCAAGGTATTTAAGGCTGTCTTTCAGCTGAATCCTGACTCCTTCAACCATAAGCGTGAGAGTCTCATAGCCTCTCTTTGTAGTGAGCATCATGGCTTCTGTCTTATGCACCAATAGTGTGAGCTCATTATCCTTCATCCATCCAGCAACTGCCAATGGTGCTCCGTTCGCCGTATCTTCCAACCAGTTTTTGTTGCGACCTGTTGCTATTGCCGCTACGTCGTCCACAAAGGCTACTAACGAGGCTGAGCTGTATTCAGGGCTATTACCCCCAGATCGGTGTCCAGCGAATCGTCGTACATCATGTTCCACAGTATCGGCCGATGGCCAATCTTTGCGGAACACCGCATGTAATCTCTCTGCTTTGCGCTTCACCAAATATCAGAGGCCGGTTACTCAGGTAGCTTAGTAAGGTCCGGTGCAGATATTTTCGTACTCGCTTCTTTCCTTGCACATCGCTTATCTTATCCCTCCTTGCCGAGTTAAAAGCATTTGCTACATCGAGTGCTACAAGAACACACAGCTGTCTGTGGCGTAAAGCTCCCGTGCCTTTCAACTCCAAAGCTTCCATGACCTTCTGCATTGCGTCGACTGTGGACCTAACCTTACGGAAGCCGAATTGCAGCTCGTCCAGGTCACCACTACTCATCAGGTAAGTTTCGAGTCTCTCCTTAATTATGCGTTCAAAGAACTTATCGGCGCTATTTAGTAGGCATATCGGTCTGTACGACGAAGGTCGATCAAGTGGCTTATTATCCTTAAGCAGTAACACTAGGGTTGAATTCTTTTATATAGTCGGAAACTCACCTGCGCCGAAGCACAGATCGTAAATCTTCCGTGAGATATCGGGTCGACTGCGTGCCATACTTTTCATAACCAGGTCCGGTACCCATCTGGTCCTAACCTTAACCTAACCTAACCTGGCGGGATTTTCTTCGCTTGATCTAATATCTCTTCTTCGGTGACCTCCGAGAATTCGTATTTTCACTATACACCTGGCCATGCAGCCCAACTTCGAAAAGTGGGTGTCCACAATATTGTGCCCCATTTATCAGTTTCGACCTGCCTGCAGAGATTATCCCAACAGTTCCTTTTATTTCCGGTGATTGCGTGCTTCAACTCTCTTCTTGCCTCCCTGTATTCTGTGTTCTCCTTTCCGTCTTGGTATGGTTCTCTTCTTGTGCACAATATTTTGATATATCTTCGTGTTGAATGACATTTTTTCCGCAACTCCTGGATCTCTCTTTTCCACCACAATGCTGCCTTCTTTCCTCCCCTATAGCAGCCCTTAGGCGTGCTCTCGTTACATGCCTCCTCTACTATCTTTGCAAATCTATTTGCTGTCGTGGTAACATTGGCGTCTTCCTCTTAAACTAAAAGTTTTCCCTTTAAGAATTTCCCCAGTTTACATGAAAATCATCAATTTTTTAACTCCAGGAAAACTAAATTTATTCCCCGCCGCCCCAACAAATTTAAAAAAAAAATAATAGTCTACCAGTTGAATCTACTATTATTCCCAGAGTATTAGTTATTTATTTAATACCCGCAAACCAAAATCTTACTCCTGTTAGTAACACAACTGACTTATCCTGGGTGCACGGTGCACACCCTGTCTCTTAAATTATCTGAATCCTTCATAAGTTGACCTTCTCTACTTCCTCCCTTTTCTTCGTCTACCCTTCTGGCCTTAATTTAATTATTCTTAAATTCTCTTCTTAACATTAACTCTAATTTTCAATGCTTAAATTGAATCACAATCAATATAATATTTTAAATATTAGTTAACGATATTCGTGGCGCCTTTGATTCTGTCAATATTCCTACCCTCATTTCTCATCTCTCCTCATTAAATTTTCCTTGCAAATTTTGTAATATTTTGTTTTCTCTTTTT